CTACAAACTATGAGATAGGGACATTTAATAAAAGTTAGGATCAAACAGGAAATTTGTAGAGTAACTTTATTTGAAAATTTGACTGAGTTTTGAGAAAAAAGAAACTAGCATTTCTGATGGAAAGTGTTTGTTTGTTTGTTTGTGGTTAAGCACAAAACTACACAAAGGGCTATCTGTGCTCTGCCCACCACGGGTATCAAAAACCGGTTTCTAGCACGGTAAGTCCGCATACATATCGTTGTGCCACTGGGAGGCGATGGAAAATGAACACAACCTTTATTTATAAACAAAAAGAAGGAATTGCGTCAACACCTACTCGATCATTTCTACCAAATCCTGGTGTAGTTTAAAAGTTTTTCTTCTCTAGGGACTGATTTCTATAGTAATATACTAAAGTAGAAACTGCTAGAATTGAGGAAGAATAGATGCTTTGATAATGCAAGAAATCTTGTATCCTTTTTTCTTGGGATGACATCACCATATGACTGGTCATTCTCCCACAACATTTATCAGCTGTGACATACAGGTATCATCTACTCTGCCAGCATAGGAAGTTGCAACCGTTGACCTTTTTAAGACGAATGTATCACTACATCCCCTCAGATATAATAGATATTACCTGCTATAGAGATCGAAGATACAAATACAGCTCGTAAAACGCAACTTCTGGATTACGTGTTTATGACAAAATTGCGTATAAACTAACAATAGGAAGAGTTGAAGAAAAATCTTTTATACATAAAAGAAAGTGAGAACATATGAGAAGCGTGCATATCACACATTAAACGACAAAACAAATATTTAAAATAAAATAATTTGTGTATGTAGTCTTATAACCGAGCAGTGTTGAATCCAGACCTTTCTAGTGGGGAGAGGGAATGTGAATTAATATTAAAAGTAAAGTATGTTTGTTTATTTGTAATTAAGCACAAAGCTACACAATGGGCTATTTGTGCTCTGCCCACCACGGGTATCGAAACCAGGTTTATAGCGTTGAAAGTCCGCAGACATTCAGCTGTGCCATTGGTGGCAAGTAAAGTATGAGTTAAGGAGAATCCCCCCCCCCATACTCCCCTGAATTCAACACTGTAACCGAGCTTATGATAAAAGGGTTAAGAGTAGTTAATAGCTTAACATAATTAGGAAAGTCATATTCCTTTTCTTATGTACATAATGTACGAGTAAAATTTAAAATAATGTGACATAATTCATTTTTGGCTTTCTATGTAGCATTGTATAGCTTATATTATTATTATTTTATCTTTAGTACTACTTTTGTTTCTCTTCCAAACTGTAACATTTTCAGATGCATTTTGTATGTATCCTTATAGCGAAACTTCGTTTTGTGAGGTTTACTGAAATTACATTTCGTAGATAATTAGTAAACGTTCCAAAAATGTTTCTGAATAATTAACATTGCGAAAAAGTAGACAAGAATTTGTATTAATTTCAAAACTACTCAATAAACTAATTGTTATACAGAATGAACTTGTTGAGAAATAAAGATTACATAATTTTGTAGCTGTATGCATTACGGAAATACATTGTTTACCAAACGTTAATTGTTAGATTCTAACGTATGATTACTGAATGATTTATGTATTGTAAAAGCTTTGCAACTCAACACAATTATTAGTACAGTAAAAAAAAAATATAGTTTTCTCTGTGATTATAAAAGATATAACTTAAATATGACCGTGATGATAGCTTATAAATTACTGATGTAAGTTTTATAAACAAAGTATGAGTTATATTGAGAAAAGTTTCATACAAATGAAGTTTTTGGCAAATGCACTACTAATGCCCCCTCTCGTTACTTATCAGTAAGTCTGAGGGCTTACAACGCAAAGGACGAGGTTCGATACTCGTGGAGGGCAGAGCACAGATAGCCCGTTATGTAGCTCTGTGCATACTAATAAGCAAACAAAAAAAGCATTATTAATTTACAGAATAAGCGAAATGAGTCAGAATCTTACATTTACTACGAAATTTTACCCTCAAAGTTCTATGTTTTTGTTAGTATATCAAAATGAGCTTTTGACGAAATTTTAATATGAAACAAGGTCAACAGCTCATGGACAGAAAAAACAAAATTTGCAATTAGCATTCGATTTTGTTTCTTCTAATGCTAAATAACTCTTCATGGATCTACATAAATTTTACCCGTAAACTTACAAGTACTTCAGTAGGAATGCTTGAAATGATACCGGTTATTGATCAACAGTACTTTTTATGTGACAGGCTTTGGTCTATAAAATTATCTAAAATATATAGATGTATTTCATACTCTAGCCCAACGGAATGAGCGACAAATTGTTTTACCTATTTGTATTTTTGAAATAATATAGCGCACAGAAATTACGAAAAAAAAAGTTTTGAAGTGAACACGAGAAGATCGCGTGTCAGGCATCATTACCGAAATATTAAGGTTTCATAAAAGTAGGTAAACAAAACAAGAGAGGTCACTCAAGTTCCATGTGACCGTAATCCTTTAAAAGTTGGAAAATACTTTGCATCTCTAGAAGGAAAAATCCTAATATGGTGCAGCCAAATCCTAGAGGTGATTTGAAGATAAACTATTTTCGTGTATAATCATTTTTGCTTTGTGTTTAAGAAACAAGGGATGATGAATTTGCTTTTCTTTAGTGAGTTATTTATACCAGAAGTGACAAATATACAGTATGCGTTTTTACGGCTGTTTCTTATCACTAGAAGAGCTATATAAACGAAACTTTCTTCTTGAAACATATAATAATAATTTTCAAAAAAAAAGAAAATAAAGAAATTAGGTTTGTTTCTTTATTAAATAATGACAAAACCGGGATAGTCACTGACTTCATTTGAAATGGTTTAATTAAGAGCTGTTGAACTTTTAACTATATTAAAACAATGTTTCATGTTCGGATTTGAACAATTCCAATACATAATTTTAAAACCACAGGGTCTTACTAAATTGTTACTCTGATCCTAAACGATAACTTTGAACTAAAAAACAATATTCAGCATTTGGTATGACGTAGATTTCTCCGAAGACTGAGATATCTAAACGAAATTCTATGCAGAAAAAAATTATCATTGTACATATGTTTATTATGAGAATATCCAAGGTATTTCTACTTTATCATGTTGACTAATGATTTAAATGGGTTGATGTTAGAATTAGAAAAATATCGTCTGTAAGTTAAACCTCACTTCATGTTCTACATAGATGATGGGAATTTGTTTGGTTGCAGTTACAATTCGGGAGAAATACGTCAGGTCTGTGATCAGAAACTAAAGATAAGAAACACTAAAAATAATACTATTATTATTATTACACCCTTGTGTTATGTAAGCATTCTGCTAAACAAGAATTATTATTCAAAATTTACTACTAATTTTGTTTATACTTTTAGGGAACTAAACTCTCCCAATTTGATCTCTGTGTGTAATCTATAGTATGATCTCACTATATGGATATTGGGAACGAATTGCTGTTTGTAAAAATGTTAAATAACTGAATGGATTTAAACTTATAAGGTTAAATGCATTTATATATTTCATGTGAAAATGTTTCAATAAGAAGTAAATCAACAATGAATGTCCGTCTAGTATGCAAACTACAAACAACTGGTTTTATTCGATGACGAGGAAC